CCTTTCCTTATCCCAAACTGTCACTGTCAGACCCTTCTGCATGGCAAAGGGTCTTTCTTGTATGAAATCTTGTGTGTGTGTGTGTGTGTGTGTGTGTGTGTGTGTGTCGGGGGGGGGACGAGGGGCTGCATATGCATGTACAGGGCTTTGTGGACCTTGAGCCCTTGGTTTTTTTTTTTTTTTCTGAGACAGTATTGCTTTGTCATGCCAGGTAGAGCACAGTAGCATCATCATAGCTTACTGCAACCTCAGACTCCTGGGCTCAAGCGATCCTCCTGCTTCAGCCTCCCAAGTAGCTAGTACTACAAGCGCCTGCCACAACGCCTGGCTAGTTTCTTCTGTTTTTAGTAGAGACAAGGTCTTGCTCTTGCTCAGGCTGATCTCAAACTCCTGAGCTCCAGTGATCCTCCCGCCTTGGCCTTGCAGAGTGCTGGGATTACAGGTGTGAGTGCCTGGCCTCCCTCAGCCTCTGATGGAGGGTTCTCTCCTCTTAAGAACTTCAGTAACCTGGCAGCTACCACCTGGTGTTTATGAGGCCTCCTGGGCCTCTTTGCCCTCAGTCTCAGGGTTTTTTAGGAGAAAAATGAACACACAATTGTTCAATCTTTAGGATATTGGCTTAGTTTTTTATTTTTTTTAAAAAGAGATGTAAATGTTTCCCTTTGACTCTCTTAGAAACACAAATCAGGAAACCGTAAGCAGTGTCACTAGAGATCATGACAGGCGAGAAATGATTGAACTTGTCTCCCCCTAACTCCATATTCAGGAAATCTAAGTGGGTAGCTTGGAATCCTTCACGGTGAGGGTATTTCTATCACAGAAATTGGCAAGAGCTAAAGTCAGGACTCTGCCCTTCTCTTCTAGTCCCCATCCTCTTGGCACCTTGTAGTCCCAGCTATGCAGGAGGCTGAGGTCAGGAGTTCAAGGCCACAGTGCATGAAGATGATGCCTGTGAATAGCCACTGCACTCCAGCTTGGGCAACACAGCGAAGTTCCTTCTCTCTAAAAAGAAAAGAAAAGAAAAAAAGAAAAAAGAAAAAAAGATATGAGGGCAAATAAGTTAATTCAGATCCAGGTAACCTCCGATGATGTGAGCTACACGGTAGCATGGGCAGGTCTGTCTGATGTGAGCTACACGGTGGCATGGGCAGGTCTGTCCGGGGTGTCATGAGACACTTGGGAGTCAGCACAGCCCTCCAGATAGATCAATGCCCATGCCTATGGGCCGAATGAGCCCATGAATATGGCATGTAGTGGTGCTGTGCTTTTGCATGAGTTTTCTCACTTAAACAGGTATTTTCCATTTAAGACGCTAGGTAGCATGGGTAAATTATACAGTGTTATACAAAATTGTATCAGTCCTTGGGTTAAACTGAGTGCGCCGCAGTTTCCTCTCTCCTGAATGAATGTCAGGACACCTTTACTTTTTAACTCCCCTGCAGCTTTCAACCTGATATATCTAAGTCTCTGAGGCTGTGGCCCAACACTCTACTCATAAAGCCCACACCTGGGTGGTACTCACCTGGGGCACCTAGCAAGACCACCTGGACCTCTCATCCTACCAACTCTCTCCAACTGTTTTCCTGAGAAGCAGCAAGTTCCCTGATCTGCCTGGGAGGGAAAGAAGTGGGAGACAAGCAGGAGGCAGGAGGAGGGCTGGGCCTTACTGCCAACCTTCCAGCTCCAATGTTTCAGTCAGGGAGAGAGGGTGCCTCAGGGCTGCAGCAGTCGTCCTCCCGGGCAGAAGAGGAAGGCTGAGGCCAAAGTCCTCCCACTGCCTTGCCCCTCCTAGTGAGAACCAGTAGGTATGTGTGTGTAGGTGGGGGGAGATTCTGAGATAAGTGCTCTAGCAGCCCTGGTGGGGGTGTAGGAAATTCACCCCAACCCCCATTGGCCACCTGAGCACTGAGGTCTCCCACTTCTCAAGTTACCTCCCTCTTCAGTGGGAAGGAAAGCAAGAAAAATTATCTGGAGCAGAAAGACACAGGGGGGAGCCAGGTTGGGATGGGAGCAGCACAGGAAGCAGAGCCAACAGCCTGGTCCCTGGGTGCTAGCGGAGGGCAAGGAGAGGCCATCAGGGTGAAGGACAAAGGTGGCAATGAGACTGGGAGGATGAAGGTGGGGGCACCAGGGAGTCCTTATGGCCTGCCAGCACTGTGGCTGGCTGCCTCTGTGGGGTCTCCACTCTGCCCACAGCATCCTCCACAGTAGGGGGGAGCTTAGGGACCCACTGGAGATTTTCTGACAAGAAATATGCATCGGCTCGGCGCCTGTGGCTCAAGTGGCTAAGGCGCCAGCCACATACACCTAAAGTGGCGGGTTCGAATCCAGCCTGGAACCGCCAAACAACAATAATGGCTGCAACC